CTCTATCCTAGCAAAACCAGGACAACTGATTTTATTTAACATTAAAAAAGGGAGGGGGAGAAGGGATACGTGAGCCAATGAACTCTGGAAAAACTGTAATTCCCTTTCAAAATGGGGGGACATGGATGGATAGACATCTCTGCTGATTTACCTGCACATTTTCAAACAACTCCACATATGTTAATTCTCAGCCACTGAGACCTACCTCTTTTTTAGGAGAAGACTGAGCAAGAGGAGACAGTAGAGGCAATAAAGTTAGCTTGAGGCAATTATAGCTCAGTCGTTCTCAGCCCATTAGGAAATTGTGAAGAGACATTATCTCATAGTACAATAGACTAGAGTCCATATGTAGTCACCAAGAGCGTCCCAGCGGATAGGACAGTAAATTTTGAAAAGGTTTAGTTGATTGTACCCAACTTTTCTGTCCTTAAGAATGTACTGTTCAAGTGATAAAACTAAGCAAAGACCAATAGAGAGGCAGAATTATACAATGATAAAATAACTAGTGTAGGAAGAATTTAGAAAAGCATGTTTTGAAAGGGGTTCAGAATGATGCCAGTCAAACACCAAAGAAGAAACAAAATCTGTTTCAGACAAGTACAGAACAAATTTAAAGAACAAAGAGTTATGATAGGGGAGGAGAAGGGATAGAAGTAAAGAATGACAATGAAACAAAGTCACAATTACATACAAAATAAGTGCAAGCAGTATGTTCAAGGCAGTAGGATATTTAATTTACAAGTAACTTTTGAAACAGGTCATAAAGACGTAGTACTTCAGGTTGAATTGGAGGAGGTGGTTAGAAACTTACATGGGAAGAACAACATTGGCAGTAGCAGACTTCCTGGTTGGCAATTCATGAAATTGACTGAAATGAATTTGAGATCTTTATTAATACCCTGGTGCCCAGTATCACTTTCATGGTGGTCATCCTGCTAGTCCCAGCAAAACGATTAATGGATGAATGGGCACAGAGACTTGCACACTTTGTTGGAGCCATCCTCTTTCAGCCTGCTTTTAGGCACAATAAGGGAGCAATAGGTAGAATTTCTTTTGCCTACCCTGTTTTTCTGGGGGGACCTATGTGGAGGATTATACATTTGTATAATTAAATTTGCATATTGACAGTAACTTTGACCATAAAACTAATAAGCTAAGCAAAAATTGAGAGATTGGGAAGTACATTTTAAAGTACCTGATTGAAGATTTTTTGTTCTAGCAAAGAGAGGAATAAGACTTTTCTTAAATAGTTCTGTCATGTGAAATTTATTAGGGATAATGAGAGCACACTTGTAAGCTTCCACAAATGTGAGTTGTTTCTCACTTACGTAAATGACCGTGTGTAGTCACTCTCTTGTATCTTTCATGAGTTACTTTTTTGGCATACAAATTTCATCATCTTAGAGTCTGTACGTATCTGTTACTACTTTTGAAGGCTCTCAGATACTGATTTGTTTAGTGGCAATTATGACAATAACTTATACAAATGGCTATTGTTGACATAAAATCCATAATTCCTTTTCTGACAATATTATGGTTATGTTGTTCTGAATTTAGTTGTCCTTCTGGTATTTTAAGTATTTTGCTTCCTTTTCTTTCAGTTGAAAAAGTAGCTAATGAAAGCCAGAAAACACCAAGAGATGTGGTCATGATGGAGAATTTCCATCATATTTTTGCAACGCTTTCTCGCTTGAAAATTTCTTGTCTTGAGGCTGAGAAAAAAGAAGCCAAACAGAAATACACTGATCACCTTCAGTCTTATGTAATATACTCGCTCGGACAGCCTCTTGAGAAATTAAATGTAAGTATATTTGAGTTTATATACAGAGTAGTCCTTCTCAAGTGTTTAATTTGCACTATCTGATCTCTTTATCACTGCATCTATCATAATCTGTTTTATAATTTTAGACTTGAGCATGCCTGGCAAGAGTACTCTACTCACGATGATAACAGTCCTGGATGAAAAATGGACCAAACTTGTCATGGCAATGAATAGTACTGACTAAAGATTAGTTATGTCTTAAGCAAATGGTTTTGAGGAAGGAAAAAGAGAGGAGAAAAGTAATCAGGAGCTTTGGGATTTTTTTCCCTACGTCAACTGCAGAGAAAATTCCTGGGGTTTCTGAACTGTTCAACAATAAGAAAAGTTTTAGGAAAGTTGTGTGTGTCTGAAGTTGAACTAAGTGTTAAACTGAACACTGACTAAAGCCAGTCTGTTCTGTCCACTGAACGTTTCCCACTGTTCATTGCTTTTTCTATAATCAGGATTTCAGCCATTCATTTTCCAAAAATTCTAAGATGTATTCTCTTCTTGAAAATTAAAATGCTTTATTGCTGCTTCCCACTTGTTGTGGGTTGAGTCTGGCTAGCACCTAAGCTGCCACATAACTTGCTCATTCTCCCCTCCCCATGCAGGACAGGGGAGAGAATAGAAAGAGCAAAAATGAAAAAATTTAGGGGTGCAGATAAAGACAGTTTAGGCAGTGAAGGGGAGGGGGGTTTGGAAGGATTGATGCAAAGGCAGTCACTCACTACCTCCCACAAGCAGATTGATGCCCAGCTAGTTTCTGAGCAACAGCCACCTTGAAGACAAACACCACCTACACCCCCTCCCTGAACCCCGATTTTTATCGCTGAGCACGATGTTACATGCTATGGCATACCCTTTGGCCAGGTGTGACCTCTTCAGCAATAACCAAAACATTGGCTTGTTATTGGCCCTGTTTTAGCTACAAACCCAAAACACAGCACCATGTGGGCTGCTGTGGAGAAAGTTAACTCCGTGTGGCTCTACGTGCATGTTCATAGGCGGACTTCCCTCCATTTTTATTATGTTGAGCCAGCTGGTGCAGGGCAGTGAGAAGAGAGGGCAATGATGAACAAATATTGCTGTTGTGTAATTATGGTGTAAGTAAAGAAATTCCTATTCAGATGCTTACTCAGTTTATCCAAAAGATCCAGTATTTTCCCAGGCTACATTAATTGAGGAGTTTGAGGTTGATTCAGTATTAGTTATAAGGTTGCAAAGAAAAGCTTGATTGCTTCTAGAAATGATTGATTTCAATTTTACACTAAGTACTTAGTGCTGTATTGTTGTGCTTTAATGTTTATGGCTGAGCACTACTCCATGCCCAGTTTAAAAACAAACATAGGGGAACACACAGCAGTTGTTAAGCAGAATCAAGACTTAAGTACACATATGCTTGTCAAATTAAGTTAATTAGTTTAGATTTGTGATAATCATTAATGCTGCTATTGTTTGTTAGCATTTTTTTGAAGGTGTTGAAGCTCGTGTTGCACAAGGTATAAGAGAAGAGGAAGTAAGCTATCAACTGGCTTTTAATAAACAAGAGCTTCGTAAAGTTATAAAGGAATATCCTGGTAAGGAAGTGAAGAAGGGATTGGATAATCTTTACAAGAAGGTAGATAAACATCTCTGTGAAGAAGAAAACTTACTTCAGGTAAATAAATCATGGCTTAAAAACCTTGTAATGTTTACACAAAGGCTTTTATTATTCCTTTTGCATATATATTCTTTGAGAAGTGCCTAGCTTCAGCATAACCATTAATTTTGAGTGAGGTTTTTAATAATCTTGCTCTGATTCTGTTTGTTGTAACAGTGATTTGAACTGTCATGGTAGAGATAGCATTCAGAAAGAAACTTCCTTTATGATTCTCTGGGTGCCCATTAATAGGTGATCTCTGTTTTGCAAAATATGCTGGAAGTAGAATTGGATTTAAATGAGCTGTTTACCTGATACAAAATGTAGCTGGTACACTATGTCAGAATATACTTTCAATTAAATAATATGACTATCAGAAAATATGTAAATTTTCTCTTATATTCTGTAATCTCTCTTACTGGAGTAAATGATAAGTAGATTTAAGAGTTAAGCATGTATTAACAGCTTTTTAATGTCTGAAGCATGAATTAGTAGCACTGTTCTGGTCTGGGGTGTTTTCTTTCCTGACAAAAGCAGTACTTCTTTTAGGACAACTTCCTCTCCTTTACTATTTTCTGCTTTGCAGATTTGGTAGGAGTCATGTAAACATTAAGATCTTTAAACTTAATGGGTAAAAAATTTCAATATTTTTTTTTAATGTAGCAACTCAGTTTACTAAACTTTGTTTATTAGCAAGCTTTAGTTTTAAAATGACACCTGAACTGAGAATCAAGTAATGTTTTGTAGTTTTCCTGAAGTTTGCTTTCTTTGGCAGGTTGTGTGGCATTCCATGCAAGATGAGTTTATACGACAATACAAGCACTTTGAAGGGCTGATAGCTCGCTGCTATCCTGGATCAGGAATTACCATGGAATTCACTATACAGGATATTTTAGACTACTGCTCCAGTATTGCACAGTCCCATTAAGTTCGAAAAAAAAGGGAAAGAGAAGGTAGCAAAGCTTGTGCCTGTGTATAAGGGAATCAAACACTATAAATGTTTTTAAAAGGTGGATTTCCATATGTATGTGTCTGTAACTGCCATATGTCAAGTTACACTCCTGCTTCAGATGTCTTTCAGGACAGAATGAAACCTTTGTGGAATGGTTGCTCTTCTACTGGGTTGAAATACTGTTTGAAAGCATTAATTCTGTGAAATACCTTGGATATAGTTTTTCCCCCTCCCCTAATGTTCAGATACTTTTATTTATAATCCCTTCTCTTGCTAAAAGCAGTAAGCACTACCTTCATAGTACACAAAAAGGATACTACTGTTTTCACTAATACTTTGCATCTTGTAAATTATGTAAGCGTTAAAGACTATCAGATCTTTTCCCTTCTTCATTCTAGAAAGTATGGATGTGGAACTTTATGCAGTGGGAATACTGAATTGGTGTTCGGAGACGTAATGTTACTATGGCTATAATCTTAATTAAACTATGTTCATCATATTCTTTATTTCTGTTGAATGTTATTTCAAAAAGGTAAAAATGCAGAGTTATTTCTAGTGTTTGTCTCTGGGCATTGAAGTAGAATTGCTCTATTTCTCAACACATTTTTTCCTCTTCGTTTTAGCAAGTGTGATGTAGCATCAGTATACCCCCACCTCCTGTAACCCCTTCCTCCTCCTGAAGCCTCAGCTGCCTGTGATTTCAGGGCCTAGTTTTTCTGTACAGCTTGAGGGAACTGCTAGGTTGTTGCATAGAGCTGGGCTGTATGTAGCATAGAAACAGGCACAATGAACGTAAACATGCAGAGGTAAGATTTGGGGTTTTTGAGATGCAAATGCAAGGAAAAAAACCAAACAGTAATACGAATGAGAATGTTATAAAACTCGTAAGGCAACACCTGCTACATGTCAACTTGGCAACAACGAGGCGCCTGGCTTTGGGTAAGCATACTAACACTTAAGTCCTGTAGCTCATTAAATCCTGGATGTCTTTTGTTTACTCATAGAATACTTGAGCCAAGTTGTGTATAACCTGCTTACAGTGTCTTTGCACGCGATGAATGGTAGCCAGCGCAACACCAGGAGGAAGTAAGGGTTACACTTAACAGAAACCAGTATGGCCAGCCTGTACAAGGAGTGACTGCCTGTCACTGTTACATCT